GGGGGGGGGTGGTAGGAGACAAACAAAACGAGAGAAAGTTCCAAGCGAAGCGCAGTACCCGAGCGTGTCGATACAGCCAACGCGCAGACACAACGCATCTCCCACACTACATTCAAGCTGTGACATGAGCAGTACAAACCGGGCAGGACCCTCCACTTCCATTTTCCATCGAGGATTTGGGTCCAAGGGATCGGTCTCAAGAGAAACATATTCACGCACACACACACACAATCGACTTCTGAAGTCGCGAGGGAAGGGATTGCTGTACCCTGCTCGCGATAAAAATACCTCAGGCATGAACCGCAGGAGGGGGTCCAACCCCCCCCTCCTATGTGACCCCGGTTGGGTCGTCTAGCTAGTAGAAGTGGAGGATAGGGGCCAGAGGGGCAGACGACAGAGTCCAATGATGGGAGAAAAACAAACAAAACAAACAACACACAGGTGACCTTCAAGAGCATTTTCTGAGACTGGCGTCTTCTCATTGGGCAGTCGGTCCAAGCAGTCGATACCAAATGGTACAAGCTGACGCACAAAAATGGTTTTGTTTTTTTCATCGCGCAACATTCAAAGACTGACTTCTCTCCTTGGTCAGCCGGCTAGCGTTTCCACGAAAATGGACAAAACACAACGCACACAGAAAAATTTCGCGTCTTTCATCTCGCTGCAATACTGCCATCTTGAGTTTGGTCAGCCGGCTAGCGCGGTTGATGCCAAACAACGAAAACACACACAGAACGCGTTCGCGTTGTTCATCCCCGTTCATACGTCTGTTCATCGGTCAGCCGGCTAGCGCCATCGATTCCAACCAATGAAACACCAAGTACCACTATCGTGGAAGTAGACAAGGAGCGGTTCATGCAACAAGCCCAACTACTACAACAGCAACAGCAGTAGCCCGCCCTCTTGGATACCTCCGGAGCTTCTCCCGCCCGATGGGGTTGATCGATCCCGGGTCCAGGGACTCCACCAGCAGCAGCCGGTACCGTTCCTCGTGTCCCCTTGACTGGTACACCTTGTTGATGAAGTCCTCCGCCATCGCCTTCTGGAGGGAGGCTGCGATCAGCGGGCGGCGCTTCAGGAAAGCGTGGAGTTCGTGCATGTCCCAGGCGTACGTAACGACCTGGTTGATTCGCGCGGGCATCGCGGGGGCGTGTAGGTTTAGGGAGGGAGATTGCTTAGAGGTTGCCTACCGTGGTCATATGTGACTGCCGACAACGCATTGCGGCCCGTTGTTGGGAACCTCCTTACTACTGTAACGCCCAGTTCGCGATTTCTTGACAGGAGGAGGGAACAGCGGGGTGGGGTGTGTGCTCATAGTCGTGCATACCGTAGTCGTTAGACCATTGACCTCGCATCCCTACAAAGCCGGGACGGAGCACGCCGGGTTCTCACCGGACCAGGCTCTCACATCACCAAGCGCGAAGCGCCGTGAGATATTCGGCGAGTCGCATGAAGGGTGCGCTGCATCCTGATAAGGGTGTTCGGCATCTTGTACTTACTTCCTTGCTTACGGACAACAGCTGCGTATGAATTAATTTATTTTCTGGTGCTTTCACTTCCAGAGACAGTTGTAAGCACTGTGCAACTGCCTCGAGGGTGCTTGACCAATTTATCACAACGTGGTGCGATCACCCCCTTTGCGCGGAGTGAGCGATCTCGACCCTGCACAACACAATCTGCTCGACCACCATTCATGGTTACTGCAAAAATAAAAAAGGCCAAAAAGAAGCGGTGACCTGATGGCCGAGCTCACGAAGTGATCGACTAGTTTTACAACGTCGTTGTCAAGCGACGAAACCCCAACCCCGACGGCAAGCACCGGGGCGGCGGCAAGGGGGGGGGGGGGGGGGGGGGGGGGGGGG